ATTTTCTTTTTACTTAAATACGCCACTGGACACAGGTATTTCTTTTGGAATTAAAACCAACTGAAAAAAAAGATTTATTGATAAAACGATTCGTTAAAATAATATCGTCTTAAATCAATGGATTTCAATATAATAAATAATATTCCTGTATAATATTTTCTTTTTAACAGGATTTTAATCGAAAAACGCACATTTTCGAAATGACTCATTTTATTCGTCAAAATTTATCACGTCAGAAGAACGTTTATTATTGTTGATTTTGTTTAAGATGATACGTATATGTGAGAAAGAAAACGACTGAGTTGAAAATTCGTATGCCGTTAGATTAGTATTTTTTCGTTGTGTTATTGAAAGTTTCTATAAAGAATACCGAGAAATTGTTCGAACATCGACTTGTCTTAAGTGGTTATGAAATAATCTGAACTTATAGATTCTTTTTTTTTTTTTATCCTCAGTGTGACTACAAGTGGAACTTTTTAAAGAAGCCACTGCAGACCACTACAGCGTGCTAGTTAAAAAAACAAAAATATGACATTGTGAGCGTAGTAACAAAACTATATTTACTACCCTGTTGTCGAACTGAAAAGTTTCTGCGACACAATTTTCTTAAAGGTTTAAAAATAAAAAAATTTAAACGCGAATTGGTTAAAATAAAACTGATTTAAGTCATTAAAACTTATTACCGTGTTTCGTTGGTGTTCTGATTGTACAATAAACTTTGTCTTCGTAGTGTCGGATTTTTGATTTTTTTTTTTTCGTTATACGATATCAATCTATTATTTATTTATAACGTGAAGAGCTCGTTCCATTCCTTTGATCATCATTCGTTCAAAATGTAGCTAGCCAATAGACTTTTATAAGAAAAAAATTACCAATCAAGAACCGTTCTAAAAAATATTACAATCGACGGAATACGAAGAAATGTGCCGTATCTATTTCGTTGTTGCATACATCCAACAACGGTTTTTGAATAGAGTGTTTCCTGCGTTATTCGCACGAATCCTCTTGAAACATTATTTGAAAATTATTTTCTAAGTAGTATTTACCAACAGTTCATGCGACGAAAGGACGGATCCAATACATTATTACGATTTTTTAAATGCAAATGTCACGTTTTCCGATTAACACCATCATGGTTTAAATTAGGTACATTTAAATACCGTTTATTAACTCTGAATATTTATTGTTTTTTTTTTTTTTTTTCCTACTGGAGTGATCGCGCCGATTGTCACATTCTGGATTCACCTATGGCGCCACGGTAGATATGCTTTTCATCATACTACGATTTGAAAAACGATTTGACGAGGATCCATTTTCATGATCGAGAAACAAAATTGAAATTTGTACAACGATATAAATTACGTCGTTATCAACGCTTCGTAATCGTCAGACGCACGAAAACGAACACGAGTGTGGTTTAATAATAATAGCGGTATGCGAAGAAGAAAAAAAAATTACTATCCAATATTTCTAGAGTAAACCGGAGTAATCATATTTAGAGGGTGCTGTATACAGATAAGTTTTGTGATCGGTAAAGATCCGTGGATGGAAAATTAAAAAAGTTTTCAAGATTCTATATATATGTTATTACCATTGAAAAATGTAAGTGCAATCGCGGAATTCGTTTACAGTATTTCTCGGGTCGTAATTCGTGTTTAGAAGTTGTAACAACACCGGATTAAGAATACCGTATCCGAGTGAACTATGAAGTAATATCGAACAACCAGGTTAGATAGTCAGGCTGACTGTTGTATCACGCACAACCGTAATTGTCAAGAGTAAGAGATTATCGAAATCGTCGAGTATTGTAACCAATAAAGCGGATAATTACATATTTAACATGTTTATACAGTAAGAAGAATAAATGATGCTGAACAGTTTTCAAAAACAAATCGAACAATCGAAATAATCAAACAGTCGTAAAAATAAACTATGTTGAAAAGTATATTTTATCGAAATGTTTCAAAAGTACACGAGTTATGTATTTTTTCGGTCAAAGAACAAAATTTGTTTAATATTATAGTTTATAACTAGGGTTCAGATTTATATGTACTTAAAAAACTTAAAATAGTATGCACTTATTCATTAAAAAATCTTTAAATATGCGCTTGATATTTTTTTTTTTTGTTTTGTTTTTAATAATATGCAAAAATATGCTCTTACCTAAAATAAATGCATTTAAATAATTTTTTTTCCATAAATATTAATGCGACTCAATTGGATAAACTTAATACTTCCAGTAAAGATATCAACACAAAATGAATTAAAGCAAATATTTGCACATATATTCAACAAATAGAACAAATATTTTAGTTAGGAATAATAATAAAAAAATAAAAATGTATTAAATCCTTTTAATACTATTTTTTTAGCAAATATTTACGAAACACAAAATTTAATTAAAAAAAAAATTATTTAAAAAACAGAAATAAAAATTTATTTTTTAATAAAAATGTTTTAATTAATAATTAGAATTTATGATATTTACTTTTTACAAAAACATTTCATAATAATATATTTTTCTGTGTTCGGTCGTCATATTTGTCTTACCACTTATTATATGTTTATAAATACTTAATGATCTATATCTACTGATATCAGTGATACATGTTTCATATTGGCCATAGAGCAAACAGTAAAGTTTTCTCTAAACTATATTTCATTGTTTTTCTGATATAATTAATCCAATTTGTTTTAATACTTGTTGAATTCCTTTACTTTTGTCATACAATTAAGAACAAATTTATTTTTTATAGTAGAAGCTTTGTCACCTTGTATATTTGATAAATCATAATCTAGTTTCTAATTTAATATGTATAAAAAATTAAATAATTGGTTTAATTAAATAAATGGTTTAATTTATAAAAAGTACCTATGCTTAAATATTTGAAATTCTTGAAATATACTTTTATCCCAAAAATATGCATTTATATACAAAATAAATTTTTTCCAATGTATTCTCTGTCACACAAACCGTCCACATTTCTTACTCCCATCAAACTCTATACACTCATTAAAATCATATAAATGCATACAAATCCGGATTCTATTTATAACTGATGTAACTAATCATAAACCTGGTAACTATATCCGACGCGAATTTCAACCGTATCAAGTACAACAAAATATCTGTTCTAGCACATACGAGTAAATATGTAATTGTTATGATTATTATTATACGTTTATTACGAACAAAATGTTCTTATTAACTGCAACAAAGGTGTTTAAATGAAACGGTTGAGCTCGTTTTGAAATAGATACAATACGTGAGGCAATTTACCAACTTTGGACGTAGATAAATACCTATGAAATATCAATTTTTATAGAAAACTAGAAAATAAAATGTTTTAGGTAACAAACAAAATATAAGTATCAACTTACATTAGACTAATTTTTTTACTTTACATCACATACTTGTATTTATTTACTTTAATTTAAATTCATATAATTATATTATATCACCTACTACATCCGAGGCTTTTTATTTTGTGTAAAAAAAAAAAAATGTTTTAGAACAAAATGACTTTTAAAAAAACCATATTATAGAAAATAATACAAAATTTAATGTTTATAATACCTACGTGCTTAGTGTACAAAAATGAGATAATTGAAGTAAAAATTATTGGATTTAACATGGTGCAATGCTCTATATTCGTGATAAAATTTTATTTTATTTTTATTTTCAACTATAAAAGATATATCTTTCGATTTACGATATAGCGATATGTTCGTTAGTTACATGACTGCAATTATAGTTCTTAATTGTTATGGTATATTTTTATTTAGTTTAAATCGATAAACTGAGTTTAAATGTTTAAATGTTTAAATGTGAAAAACAAATTACGTGTATAATTCTAAAATATAACATTGATATTGATGAAATTGATCCATCAAATGTGATGCAATGTTAAAAATACTTTTTAGATATTTGTAAACGATATTATTTATGACTTGCTGTGGCTAATAGTATTAAATATTACTGTTTCTTTTTATATTTTATTATAATTTTACATTTATTTTAGTTAATTTTTTTTAATCACTACATAGGTAGATACATTTTTTTATTTTTTCAACGTGTACTGAAATAATTTTTATCGTAGTAAATATCCATTTTATGTATAAAAGTACAAATAAAACAAAAAAATATTATTGAACTTTTAAAACCTGTCCCCGGTACCACACATACAAGCAGTTTCCACAGATCTACAACTTCTATAAGTGCTGGTGAAAATTAAAAGCTACTAAACACTCAACGTTATCGTGAAAAATAAAAGGTTATGTACAACACTGCCTCTCTGCCGAAATATTATGTGGTTTATTTCGTCGAGAAATAGTTTTTACAACATCAGTAGGAATAACGCATTTACTATCGTAAAGGCGATAGTACTATAGTACTATCTACCGTTGAATCATCTCCAGTTCAGTCATGAACTGTTTACCGACGTATTGGAACTTCTGCGGTCTGAAAAATCTTTTGGACGATTGTTTTATTGTGTTACAATCAATCGCAATCTGCGATTAACTCTTACTTAGCCATCAAAATTATATCTCACATTGCATACAAGACGGTACGGTTGTTCGTACTTATACCACGTCATGGTTGCTGCAGAATATAAATTAAGTGAGCAATGCCTTTGAAGAGCTTTCCTTAGCTTCGACCAAGAAATATCAGATCGGTGATGTATTTCGGTGCATGTAACCAACAATGATGTCCATCAACATCCGGATTCCGTCATTTAAATTTTTTTATGATAAACTACAGACGGAAAAACATTATTCATATATCTACGAATCCGGATTTCAAACATCACTCTTAACTGCGCAGAGATAAGTTGAAAAACATGGATTTCGAATATAAAGATTTGACACTAATAATTTTTAAGACTAAACTATATTTTTAATTTTAATTTTTATTTAATTCATGATTTAAAATGAACAAAAATAATTAAAAATGCAAATACAAGCAAATATTATATCTATATGAAAAAGAGTAGCGGTCATCGACGGTTATTTTTGAAAGTTATAAAAATAAAAAATTGCCTTGATTCCTAAAATCCGTTAAAAAATACATATGCCGACGATATAAAATATAAAATTACTAATTTAATCCACAGCGTTTCGGGTGAAATGCGCAACGGTAATACAAAGTATTTTAAGTAACGGCAAGTGCATCCCGACCGCAGTATTTAATTATACACGTTAAGCTCATATGACAACTATAAATACTAATTCTAATAATATGATTATGATAATTGTAATGGCATTGTTTCAGTTCCGCTGTTTCCGTTTATACGAAATATTCCACGTGTTCGGTCAACGACCAGATACGAGTGATACGCAGTTTTCCGAGAAATTCATGGTCATGATCGTCTTTCTTCCTGTTGGTCCCGGGAATCGTCTGGGCTCCGTACATATTCTGGGCCCAGTTCACACTCTCGTTGATAGAAATCCTCTGTGTCTTGGGAGCGGTCTGTGCCCCGGGAACGCCTTTGGCCGTGGAACTGTCCTTGGCCGTGGGATTGCCTTCCTTCGTAGTCGGAGCGGGCCGGTCCATGGGATTTCCCTTGGACGCGGGCTTATTCTGGGGCATGGGCTTGAATTTGGGCGCAGGCTTTTCTGGGAACGAGGGATCGTTCTGGGTTAAGAGCACAGTAAGCGGAACCTCAGCGTATCTCGTCTCGGACGCGATCAGATGATATATCCCGGCTTCGTCGTCGAAATCATATTCCTGCATGTATGTTGGAGCGAAATCAAAGAAGTGCGGCTGAGTAAACGGATCTTGGTGATCGCGTGACGAACTCGTTTTTTCTCCAGGGCCACGCGTCGGTTTAGGCGGAGGCGGCGGCGGAGATCGAGGCGGTAAGTCGTCCAGTTGTATCATCGGACTCGGATCAGAACCGAACTGAGTCGGTTTCACAACGCCCACGCGACTACCGGTTTCAGACCTGATGGAAATATAAATATAATGATTTTCAATGTGTACATGAATATAATGCATATTATAAGCGCAGCAAACCCCAAGTATTATGTTAAACGTGAACATTCCCGCACGATAAAATTTTTTTTAAGAAAAAATAGCGTATTATCATAGACTCGATAATCAAAGAGCGACTAGATAATATTCTGTACAACGTTTTCGATCTATAAAAAATGTATACGTATTATATTATTGTATTATGTGTATATTATTTATGTATATTATACATAATTATCGGGGCTCAAAATTTCATGATTTCGTATATTTCAAGATTTTAAATACATGAATGCATATTATGTTTATTTACCTATTATATGTCATGGAATATCGATTGTAAATGTCTTATTTAACATCCGTTTAACAATAAAAGATTTATTTTTCCTAAGAGCGGTCACTGTTGCAATCAGAAATATACAAAATGCATTATTCGCTTATTTATCATAATTTTTTTATTCTAAATATTTAACATGTCAACTTTAATAAAACCAAACTATTTTTAATAAAAAAAAAAAAAAACATTTTTGAATAATCATCCATTTTTCAAATTTTTTCCTAATAAATACATTTTTTATTATAAAATAATTAAATATTTAAGCTTTATACATTGAATATGTATGCACATATTTAATTAATTTTTAGTGCATTGAGTTCTGTGAGACCTGTTGATTACGAAGAGATCACTGAATCGGTTACATTTTAAAATTGAATTTTGAAAATAATTTGGATTTATCCGAAGCATGTTTTTGTGTACGCGGTGAACGTTATTCTCTTGTTTTAATTTTCAAAACAGCATAACTACTACGCGGTTATAAAATCGTTATTTGTATGTAGGAAAGAGAGGTCAGTCCAACGAAAGTAAGATGTTAGATATTACTATATATTAAATCTATATTAAACAGCTTTAGATTAGAAAGCAATTGTAGATCACACAAATAATAAATAAATCAATAACAAATACGAGAACCTATAAAAAAAATACGTACCTGCGAGATGTACTTGTTTCTTTTTGGCCTTCGTAGATTCTACCATACCTTTTCCTTATCCCGTCCTGTTAAAATACAACAATAAAGGTTAGTAGTGTATTTGTTTCGAAACAATAATATTATAATATTAAATACATCGTACATAGTGTCTATTGTAAGAACTCGGTGCAGTGTAATACAGTTTTACAATGTATAAAATGTATATTGTGTTTTACTAATCAGTACTTTATTTATACGTTAAAACACGTACGATCGGTAAAACGAGTTAATTATTTATTCTCAATTCCACGGATAAAGAAAGATAAACCGTATAAAGATTTACATTAGATAGACCAAACACAGAATTTGTGAAAAATGTTCAATATTTTATCTAGACGAAAAATTAAATAGTAGATACGTCTCGTCTGATAATTAATTCAACGAAATAACCGAGCCTAATGACCATGTCTAAAAGTTCGCGCTGATTTGTAATTTCTAATGATAATAAATCGATAATTGATTCACGTTTGAACCAAATGTCTAATTCACAAGACATTAAGAGAGTGATTATTATTATTTTTTACATACACATAATATAAACAAAAAAATATATAACAAAATATATTAGAGCAAAAATTGTAAACAAAAATTTGATCATTGATCAACATACTTCACGAAAAAAATAAAACAACGGAATATATGCCACGAATAACAGTATATTCAAGTTAATTTGTTGAGAGTCATTGAACGACTCAACGAAAAATTGTGCTGTGGGCATTATCTATAACTCACTATACTACACAAGGTATATCATATATATTCCTATACAAAAACTACATAACATAACAATTAAATGTTTCGAAAAAATATCTGCACAGAGATGAAATCGGAATAATATTATAACGTATGTGAAAATACTGTTAAATACTGTTAAAATACTGTTTAATACTATTAAAAGTTATCATACCAACACCGATTACCATTCTGGTAATATTTATACGATATATTTTTTTAGAAAACGATAATAGAATTTAAGATAAATCAATATTTCAAGACAGTATATGCTAACATAAACACTATATCAATAATACGTATACCGATATAGGTACATTGAATAAATATTAAATATAATTTAATCTTTTAAACGAAAAAAATGTTGGTTTTCTAATATCAAGGTGGATCTCCGAAAAGTATAAGCCGATTTCACGAGGATTTATATTTTAACTTCTTCACGCCATATCGATTATTTGTTTATTTTTCGTCCTCCATAGATCGCATGATATTCAAAAGGCGTGATAATTGGGGATTTAACGTTTGGACAAAATTATGATAACGAAATCATTGTAACTTCATATAATTTGCACGATGTAGTTCATTACAGTGTTTTCTCGTAATAACAAACGAACGTTTAACGATTAACGTTTAATAATAAAATATTTGTTTGACAGTTTATGATTAAGTATATTTATTTTATAAAACATTTTAAATAATACACAAACGTACTATGAATATTTTATAATCCGTGGATAACATGATAGATTATGTTTTTAATATTGAAAACACGTCGATAAAAAAAGAAAACTGAACCAATTATTAAGTCATCGAATTAAAATATCTGCCCAGAACAAAAACAATGGTTATTTAAATCACTAATGTTATAATAATTATTTCTATATTTCCTTTCATCCTTTCTAGTGAAAGGTAATAGTAATTGTTCACAGATAAAACTGGTTTGCCGTCACTGACATCACCTATGCACCATCAAACTATATAGGTATGTATACAGTGCCGTAACAAACAAATATTGCGCCTGGGTCGAAACTTTAAACCTCGCTCTTATGTATTTTTAATTTAAAAATATTGTTATTAATAGATATTAATTTTAACATTTACCTCATATAATACAAAGGACGTTAAAGTTTTTGTAAATAAAGTATACAACATTGACCGTTGCAATTTTTAGCATAAAATGCAAATTTTTCAATTTTGTGCCCTACCAGTAATTGCACCTCTCGTCCTTTCTTACTTACGACTCTATACGTATGATAATTGTTTTGGTACCCACCCGATAATGTACACCAAGGATGTCCGACTCACGGCCCAAGGGCCGCATGTGGTCTGTGGTAAATACTAATATGAACCTACGTCAACTTCATACTTTCATTTACAAAAAGTTCAAAACAAAACTATGATAATTAATGAGAACAAGTTTACAGTAATAATTTAACAATCTCCTAAATTAAAAAATATACTAATTTATTCAAAACTTCTATGATAATATATTTGTTGTTGTATTTCTTCTTGAAATCATTTATAAAATATTTATTTCATTTTATCACCCTTATCGAAGAAATTGTTCAAATATAGTTATTTATTATTAGATATAACATTATTTTAGATAACATAATATGATTTAACCTTATTAGTGATAATAATATTAATATAATAAGTTATATTATGATAAAAATTGTTTTGTTAAAATATATTGAGGAGTTAACATTCAACGTAGGGGATGTTTTTTTTTTCCAATTTATAGTAGCAAAAGGTCATAAATTGGTCTGATTAACAACAATACAAAATTTATGATATTCTTCCGAATTCCTAGTTAATATAATTTTATAAATAGTCAATGGCTAGTAATCGTGAGTCTCTACTACAACGACGGATTGGTAGTACTCATATTAATAAAAGGAAAGATCTTATAGTGATAGTACATATTGATGAATCGATACAAAACATAAATATTGTTATTATCCTTTGTTATGAATAATTATTGCTTATGAACAATGAATAATCAATATTTAAATGTAATCACTAAGATACAATTCTAACAAATAACAGAATCAGTCTCAACACAGTCGCGAAAGACGCCTGTTCTAAGTCAGACGCTCCGTTATCAATTTTGTTCTATATACTTAATATATTAATACATCCACAATCGGTATGATAATCAACTAATATAACAGTCTTTTATTTTAATAACACGGAAAAAAAATAATACACACATATAAAATATTAAATGACTACAACGAATCAACGTTCTATCGGCGATCGTCGTAAACGTAGGAAAAAAGTAAAATAAATTGTCGCTATCGACAACGGCCAAACGAGTTATTGGTAAAAATGGTGGTACCATAGAGTCCTATATTGACTGGTTTGTTTCTACGTCAGGTATACAGTAGCTGAGGATAAGGGAACTTAATTATAACTATAAATAAGACCCTCCGATGTCGAGCAATGCACATTATGATAATTGAATCACTTATCACAGAAAACCATAAGTCCAGAACATTAAAGTTCCAAGAAACTAACGAAAAAACACCTTAAGTGAAATCACACGTGGAGATTTTTCTCTAAACAAAAATCTCATAAACGCGAACTGGCAAATAAAACATAAGGAGCATTTCAGCACAAAACGAGGGGTTTCTGTAACAAGCGATTCGAACAAAATAATAATAATAATATAATATATAAGCAATCATTGCGGTAATCGTTGGGTTAAACGGTGACTACCACCATTACGTTAACAACACTACGTTAACATTACGACGAGCGTTGCGCGAGCAGGGAAACGGCGATGGCCGACCGGCGATGCTCGCGGTAAGACCGTCATCCGTGTCGCAGCAACCACGAGAGAGAAGGAAGGAGAAAAGCGTATAAAAAAAAAAAAAAAAAACAAGAGAAAAAAACGGGAAAACGTGTTACGAAGACGTTGTTTCGCGTAGGGACTGACGGGGCGCAACGATGTAATAACGGTAGACGAAAGATCACCTGGGGAAATCTCGAGACTCGATGCCACATGTTTTCGGCCGGAAAGATTGCTCGGCGGAGACGACGTTGACTGATGCTAGATGATCGTGGCCCAACGGCGATGTTGTTGCGGCAGCTGTTCTCCCACACTCGTTCTCCTGCGGTGCTCTCTCGGATGGGTGTGCTGGCGGAATGTCGGACGGACGCGCACTGACAACGGGCGGACGACGTCGGTGCCCCGGTCGCATATCCCGGTGGCCGCAGCACGGCGGTACCGTCGGTCACGGCCGGCCAGTACCGGTTGTCCCCGCCCGCGACTGTGCGCATGCGACGCCGCCCCGTGTACGTGTCCACGAGCGCCCGTGGAATAATACGTGCACAACGTACAATACCAACCAACACCGGTGTGTGGTATACGTATGTTTTGTGAATGTAACTCGTTTTCCCTGCTCGCGAGCGCACGGATTCGCTCGGAAACATTAATTCACAATGAATCGAGACTCGCCGGTGATATCGAGTTACCGGTAAACTGTTCCCGCGCTGAACCGCACTCGTCCGCGATCGGGGTATGGTCGAGAACGATCTAAAACAATCGAGTTGTGGGACCCTTGTAATCATTGTGAACACTCGGAGTAGCTCGTAATCGGCTCTAATTTTCCGATCGGTACGAGAAGTCACTTCGAAGATCTCGCACAGGGCCGGCGTGAGGGTAAGACGACTCAGACGATCGTCCAAGGTGCCATTTTCAGGGGGACGCCAAAATTGTTTTTTACAATTTTCCTAATATGGCAGTAATATTATTACTATTATTTTTTTTTTTTAATGTAAGATACCTATAACTTTGTATTGAAATATTGATAATAGTTATGGTTATTTCGTTTAGCCGTATATTAAAATGATATAAGTATATTTTAAGTATATTTAATATAGTTTAGCATAGAATGTTTTATCGTATATGTTGCTATTATTCCATAGGCGGACTTTTCGTTGAATTTTTGGGGGGGCTCTAATAATTCAATGTAAAATAACCCGTAGAGGCTTCGCCCCAATACCCCTTCACAAACACTAGTAAAACCTTTTACTATTAAAAATATAGATATGTTTAAATTGTATTAAAAAAAACACTAAATTACGTATATTTAAAAATTATCAATATTTTATTTTAATGACAAATATCTATTTGTATCAGCAAAGATATTCAAAATATCATCACTTTTTATATTTTTCGACATATCTTTTTCAATATAGGTATAGTAATGAAAGATCAATCTTGAACAAACGATGTCCTTAGCCAATTTTTTATTTTTTTTTCATTACACTGAAACTTCTTTCGCAATTAGCCGAACTAATTAGTTAATACTATTGTAAATAGATTTTTATTATTTCTTATTTTATGATTTTCAAAAAAATGAACAGATAATAATAAAACTAACGAATAATTTAGTAGTAGATTTAAAATAATTTTAGTAATGTACTGCCGAAGCAAGTACAGTTAATTATAAAAACAACGAATAACATTTCTAACAAAGTTTAGATTTTGGAGGGGCTATTTAAATATTTGAGAAGGCTAAGCCCCGCCACATCCTGATGTCCACCTATGTATAGTTCCCAAATATTTGTACGTCCATGTCACCGGCCCCCCTCACCACGAAAAGTTTAAAAAAATGTTATTCAAATATTCTGTACGCAATTTATATGAATTTATACGGCAGTTTTCAGAATTTGTATGACGTTATTATTTGACTTATATCAAAAATACTGAAGAGGGGCCAGAGACATATGTCCCCCTAACATAAATGAATTAGTATTCTTTTTTTGAATTTAGTAAAACTCAAGAACCCAATTCGTATGAATTTGTACGACCATTTCCGGAATTTTTAAGCCTCCCCCTCTCCTGTAATATGCGAAAAACCCTTTTTCCCATATCCCCCCCCCCAAATTTGAAATCTAAACTTTTTCTTCCACAAACCTTTTACACATAATTTGTATGCATTTGTACGACCGTTTCCGAAATTTTTACGCCATCCCCTCTCCTGTAATATGTGAAAAACCTATTTTCCCGTGTCCCCCGCCCCTCCAAATTTGAAATCTAAACTTTTTCTTCCACAAAAATTTTACACATAATTTGTATGAATTTGTACGACCATTTCCGGAATTTTTACAGCATCTATTTACCCGGAAAACTAAATTTTCTATGTGCGGGGTGAGGAAAACGTTTCTCCAGCCTCGCCCACGCGGAAAAATAATTTTTTCCAAAAATGTCCTACGTCAATATTTAATATGTGATGTACATGCTTTTTTACGACCCCGTTTCTAGAATTTGTACACCACCTCCTTTCCTGTAATACGTGAAAAACCCTTTTTCCTGTTTTCCGGCTCCCCCCAAATTTCAAATCTAAACTTTTTCTTCCACAAATCTTTTTCACATAATTTTTATGAATTTGTATGACTGTTTCTGGAATTTTTACGGCAACCTCTCTTCTATAATATGCGAAAATACCTTTTACCTATGTCGTCCGTTCCCTTAAATTTTAAACTTTTTCTTCCACAAACCTTTTATACATAATTTGTATGAATTTCATAATACAGGGAACTTAAAAAAAATTAATTTCAAATATTTTTTCGTTATCGGTTTCATTACTTTTGTTATTATTAACTTAAAAGAATTCTACATAATACTTATGAAAAAAAAAATTATCCTTGGTACATGCAATATATGTATAGCTTAAATATTATTACAGTTAAATGTTCTAATAATGTACCTTAACAATTTCTGTTTTATACTAAAATTAAATAAGCCAATGTTTAATAATAAAATTTAATTGGAAAATATACAGAATTATATCACAGAATATTGTGGGTTTTTATTCTATTTTTGACGCATTATTTAGACTAATTTTAGGCATTGTGACTTGTAATGTTTTACTCTTCAACAAACTGTTCTGAAGTTTAGTGTATTTCTTATTTCCTACGCCAAAAATAGAATACGTTGAATATCGTCATTTAAAAGAGCACATGCATCATTATTACCGATGTCACCCAACATTAACAAATGTATTAATAAACTAAAACATTACGGTTAAAATTACAACAAAAATATTATCTACTGAAATCGCAACGTGATATAGTTTGTTATAAACATAATTTTTACATTTATTTATGAAACAACTAATATATTTATAATTTTAAGAATATAAATGTAAAATATGCAAGTATTAGTCGTACTTTATTAAATCATATAAATTAGTTGAATCTTATAATTATTTTGAGCAAAATTTGACTTACTTATCTTTAAAGTATAAACGTTTTAAAAATCTTAAGACATTCAAAATATAGTTAAATTATTAAGACAATTAAAACTAAATGAAATTCATATATTATAGATTAAAATTGTATTGAAATGTATTATTCAGTGTTTCAATTCAAGTAACAATTTATCCATACTCATTTTTAAGTAATGTTTTTCCTACCATTTTAACTTGAGTTGTATTATTCTTATTTTTTTTCAGGAATTATAGGTATTTCTTTGTTCCTATAAACATTTTACAAGTAAGATAGACATTTAAAATTAAATATAAAATAATAACTATTTATATAATAATACTCAATTTAAAATTAACTATTTGCAACTTATATGCTAAAGCAAATTAATAATGATACGTATCTATCATACTTCCAGAGTTAAAAATCACTTAATATCTTTACCTTTTTTGGTGAGTTTCATTCTTCTTTTCCAAAGACAAAGTCGTGGAAAAGAAAATATTTCAAAGTATAATTACGAAGAAAAAAATAATAATTTAGCATGAAAATTGTAACTATGCAGGTATCGTATAATATTTATGAATAAAGTTTATTTTTGTTTTACGTTTATAATAAGTTAAATTTATTTTATTTTATATTTCTTGTCTGATTGCACAATAATTGTTATAATAATTATTATATGTGTAAAAATATATGATATTAATATCAAGTACATAAGGTGAACTGTCACAAAATAATAAACTAATCTACAATGATTTACTTTTTTGTTTGTTTTCCTTTGTTCATTTTCTTCATTGGAGTATTCATCCTCGAAGAATTAAAAATTGGTTTTTCTGAAGCTAAAAAAAAACTGTTAGGATATAATACACGGTTGGCTGTTGTTTTTTTCATCTCCAAAATTGATTACATATCACTGTAATAAATAAGACTTACCTAATACCTATCGCACGTTAGTGTTCAGATAACCAAAAAATAATGAAAACTAACATTGTCGGCGCATCAGTCTCAGACAATGCGATAAAACGGTGAACCGGTATGTATTTACAGTACAACACGAGACAACGAAATTATTTTCGATGGATTTACAATATTTTGGGAGAGTTAATGCATTCCACTACGCAGTGTCGCATTTAAACAATTTGCGTGCCCCAGGGCAAAAACCAATTGACCCCCAACTCTCACTGTTGCCACCTATGTAAATGTAGTAAATATATAATATATATGACTTATAATGTCCTCCGCATTTAAAAAAGAAAAATATGAAATCCATAGCGTAAGTCTCACATGCCTTGCTTATACATATACATATATGTAAAAATGTACATATTTTTATTTAATTACATCATACCCATCATTATACCATAGAAGTTGTTTAATTTTGTTGTTGCTTTACGTATTTCGTTGGTTCATTGATCATGTTATTATAATAAAAATATCTTAAACCAATTTCAATCTTAAAAGTTTTAATAATTCATATTATGTACAAATATATTTTAGTGAACAAATTTTCGATCCCTTTACAAATTTGGCGCCCCCATAATTTCGGTGCTCGGGGCGGTTGCGACCATTGTCCCCCTTACTTAAACGTGGCCCTGCTATAAGTGTCCGCTGTAGACCGTACGATCCATGCTGTAATGAATAAACCTCGTTAGCCGATTCGGTCGCATTACACCATATATACACTAGAACAGAGCAGTGGGATGTAATCGTATGTAACAATTGTGTTCAATATTGTCGTTTACAATTTCTGCTACATTCATTTCCCCCCTTCTCCCCAGAACTATCTCTACGAAGTACAGGGGTGGTTTGACGCCCTGAAAGCCCGAACCGGTATGAGTTGTACGAAACTAGCAAACAAGTGGCACGAGTTACGACGACAAACGTTGCTTAAGGTCCGAATACAGCCGGCTTTAAATACGATCCACGCGTGCG